CACCTAGTAGGCACGATCACAAATCATTACTGGAAAGGACTCAAATCCCTTAAGGGAAGAAGTGCCCCGCCCACCTGCTAGGGGAAAAATTTTCTGACTTCTCTAGATAGGCAGTCTCACTAAAATGAACAATTGAATGAGGATCTTATATAAACCCATTCTTGAAAGCGGACAATGCCCTTCATTGTTTAAAAAAACACTTCCATTATACCCACTTTTAGATCAATTGAAACCAAAGAGCCACAGTACACAATGATGTATGTATCAACAGCATTGTTAAATGCAAAAATGCATTTGTAAATACCAGTGGTTTCTCTTATCTAGGGCTTTTCATCCTTAGATCTCAAAGTGCTTTCCGAAGGTGGTCAGTATTGTTAGAAAATGAGAGTTAAAAATCAGGTATGTGACTATTCAGGATGGTATAGGAAAGATTTAAGGCACCCAAAGGTACTTACCCATAAAGCATTTCTGCTTGAGTGGGAAAATATACTTAATCAGGATGTTTGGGCACTGCACACACAGACCAGAAGTGCTGTCTCCTGTGAACGACAGTGATCGTGATCTGTGTATTTCTGCAGCCCGAGCACATTACTGGTTACTCCCTGAGAAAAAGCACCGCTTAATTATTTTCCAAAACATCATGCTCCCGAAACTGGCCTTCATCACACCCAAGTGAATGAACGTTTCCGACACGAACCCGGACTCCAGCCTGGGTGGCTTATCCAGTGGCTTTTGTTAAAACACAGATTTAGTGCTGGTGATTGAATGACAGTCCTGTGGACTCCGGCTTTCCCTGCGGAGACAGCACAGGTACGGTGGCCAGGAATGTGCTTCTAGCATGCCCCAGAGCCCCACCTAAGGAGGCGAGAGAAAAGTTTGGTCTCGTGTCCCATTTAACTCTTTGGCCTCTGATGCCGCTTCCAGTTATGGGCCAATCAGAGGCAAGTGTGTTTGCGAGGCGCACAGGTGTCTACAGAGAGCTGTCCCAAGAAACAAACTCGTTCCACATGGGGGCACAGGAGGTAACAACCTTGGCCAATAAAGATCTGTGCTGAAATTGAAGTGAGGCCTTTAACCTCTGGGTCACTAGCTCCGATTATACGTTTCCCAAGCCCCCCCAGTCCCCCTTGCATGTATGGCTTTCCAGCCTATGAAGTGCTTATATAACAAACAGTAACCCCTGTGGCTGGCAGAGAAATGCAGCGTGGCACAGAATGCAGCCCACAGCATGTCTACCAGCAGAGGCGAAGAGGGAGAAGTCAGGTTGCAGGATCATTGGGGCAGGAACCTTGCTTAGTAGATCTGTGAAAGCCCCAGGCATTCACTTCTACTGGCAGTAGCGCACACACACCCTGATCAGAATCAAGGCCCCTTTGTGCTGGGTGCTATACAAACATACAGTAAAGAACAGCTCCTGCCACAAAGAGCTGACACACAATGTGCCTGTGGATAACAATGGGGAAAGGATAACTGGTAGCAATCAGAGCCAGGAATTAAGTCAATGAATGTTTTGACATGAACTTCAGTGGGAAATCAGGTCTCATACCATTAGATAATCAGAAGGCACCATTTTCCCAGCACGCTGAGCAATGCTAAAAATGCTCCTTACATTACTGCAGAGCCATTCAGCTTTCACAATGTGTGTGAGACATTGTGCCACTTTTTAAAAGAGAGTCACATTAGAAACACTTATGTAATAGCACAGTTGCCCCTGTGCTGATAGAAAGCAGATTTTTCCCCCCCAAATAAAGTTAAACAAGTTCAAGATTCTTCCCTGCCTTATCACTCCAAGACAGCAAAATTATTAGGAGATACCAAATCAGAGCCAGCAAAGTGGAATTTAAATACACACAGTTACAAAAATCCCCTCAAATTACTCATTGCTTCTTATTCAACACTGGACATAATAGCTTTTTCAAAAAGACAGTCTCCTTGACAATAGTTCAGTTGACACCCTAGCTAGAAAGGAAACAGTCAATAGCAGGGGCTAGACACAGCATTGGTGCTGGATGGTGGTGGGATATCAGGGGGTGACTTCACTTGAGGGATGAGGCATGTAACCTGAGCCCAGGAGGGGGTTGGGGGCCCAGGTGACACCTTCTGCCCTGGAAACTGGACAAAGGCTGGAGGAGGAGCCAGGAGTGTGGCTGGGGGGGAGACAGCTGGAGGGGGTTTCAGTTTTGGAGCTGGCTGGGGAAACGGAGGGAGGCCCAGAACCGGGGTCTGGCTTCCTACCCCCCCAAGATGGACCTGACTGAGGGGTCCTGTTTTCTGTACCTACAAGCTCTGTTTTGGACTGGGTTCCTGTCATCTAATAAACCTTCTGTTACTGGCTGGCTGAGAGTCACAGTGAATCGCAGGAAGTGGGGGGTGCAGGGCCCTGACTCCCCCGCACTTTGTGACAGCGACCACCTGGCAATTTCCTGGTTCCAACTCCTCTGCTGTCCCAGGCATTGGAGCTGCATCTTGATGTAAAGGGACCCAGTTACTTTCCAAAAACGTACCAGAAATAGCATCCTGATAAACTGGGCCCTGGACTGGGGTGTCCTCCGCCACCCCTTTCTCTGTCCCTGAGAAGTCAGCTGTGTGATGGCTCCCCTCCAGGACGTCGGTTACACAGTTCCCTCTTAAAACCTGGGGCACAGGCTGAGTGCCTGGGTGCACGGATGTTGACCCAGCCATTCAGTCCTGGGCATCCTCTCCCAAGTGATCACTGTGAACACAACCTGTACCCCCACTATTCCTTCCCCAGTTCCCACCTCTGGGACCCCTTCTAAGACACATCTCTCTGTGCTCCTTAGGAAGGGATCTATCCCTTGCTCATCTGCAAAACTCTGCCAGCTAACAACTGGGGCAGTTTCCTTGGTCACTGACAACCCCTCTCCTGCCCCCAATCCTGGGGCATGTTGCCTTCTGTTGGAAAGGAGCTAGTCTCAGCCCCTCCCATACTTGGAAGCACCCTGCTTCCTTGTGTTACAGGGTCACAGGAATCCTCACCCACTTCAGTGGTTTCTGAGATCCCCTGCACCTTCTCTGGGCTCTCCTCTGGGCCACATTGCTCTCTGCTCCCTGGAGAGGGGTCTGCCTCTGGTTCATCTGCAACCTGCTGGCAGCTAACAACCTGGACAGTTCTCTCCCTGGCAGGCATTACACCCCCCTCCCTTCCTGAGGTGGTGCTGCCTCTAACTGCAGTGTAGGACTTGGTCTCAACCACCCTCCCACCTGGAAGCATGTGGCTTCCCCCTGCTGCAGAGGAATCAAGATTCTCTCCCATTCTCTCAGTGGTTCCTGAGACCTTACCCTTTCCCTCGGGGGTCCCAGCATAAAACTCCTCCTTGCTGCGGGCAAATACTTTAACCTGAGCAACATAGAAAGAATCCTTACCAAGCAGCAGGTCGACAAGGAGATTTTCCATTACCCCCATGGTCAAAACACTTTCCAAACCTTCCCACACCACATGGATTTTAGCTAGTGGTACGAGGAATCTGCTTTCGCCCACCCCCACAATCTCTGCCGTTTGGCCAGGTAATACACCAGCCTTTGGGACCACGCTCTGCTTAACCAGAGGGATCTGAGCCCCTGCATCCCTCTGCCCCAAGTACTCCCTGCTGTTAATGCTGACAACCTTTACATGCTCCGTATCTGGTTCTGCAGAGGCTAAGCTCAAAAAACCAATACGTTAGGTTTCCATCCCCTGGGGGTTTTCTGTGTTGAGGACAGCAGAACCATAGGCGCCAACTCTGAGGGTGCTCCGGGGCTGGAGCACCCACGGAGAAAAACTGGGAATAAGAACCCAGGCAGACGGGAACACTGGAGGGAGGGAAAGAAAAGCCAGTGACTGATTACATGGGTGGGAGGCAAAGGACACCATGAGTAATAAACAAACCAACCTCAAACCAGATCTGTCTTTACAGCATAAAATTGCTCAAGGATCTATTCAATGAGAAATATTTATTGTTTTCTGCTGTGAAGAAGCCTAGCCAAGCTGATTGATTTATTGCAAACGCTCACATGCACTATGCAGCCCAACTAAACTTTAAATTTTTTATTTTTTTTAAATAATGGCCTCCAGTCATCATTCCTACCAGCTAGGAGGCCTTTCCAGATTCCAACATGAATTACACATTTTACTGCAAGTTATGGCGAATCTGCCTCCTTAGAAAGACATTAGGTAATTTTACAGGGATGTTTTAACTCTCAAATTCTAGACTGTCACAGAAAAGAAAAGTGCCCTGGAAATCAAGCAGAAACAGCGGGGGTGGGTGGGTGAGGTATTTTTTTAAAATCCAATCAGAACTTTAAGGTCAACCATTCTGATGAGTGCTTAAAGGAACACAACTTGAATTTTTCAAATAATTTACCACCCTCCCCCCAAATCCAGTTTCTGACAGAGCCACCTTGAAATAGTTATGACCTGGAATTGAATAATGGGTTTGCTGTCCCCTGCAGATGTTTATATGGAGGGGTCTTGTAAGGCCTTTGTTCTATGTTTGTACAGTGCCCAGCACAATGGGGCCCTGACCCCTAAGCAGTACCCTAACCTGAACAATAACCATTTCACCATGGGCGAAACGGACTATACAGAAGAAGCACTGAAAGTGACCAGACAAGACACTGTCAATTGCACAAAGTAAGGGCCAGGTTCTGCATCAGGGTCTGGGCAGGCAGATCCTCATGCTGAGCTCCAGTGAAATCAGAGGGGCTTATCATGGCCACAGGGGGTCTGCCCATAAGATTCCCAATGCAGGATTGGAGCTTGTACCTGCATCTCTTGTAACTGGAGCAGATACGAAGTTTTTTTTGACAAGTGTGATCTCAATTCAATTATAGCCCCTTAGCTTGTACAGAAGAGGGGGACTATCCTCCCCACCATCCCCACACAGTGTTCTTTACAAATGAAGCTGCTGATTTGGTTCTGAACACTCCCGTGTCTGAATTTCTTTTAATTAAACGCTTCGGCTGATCGAGATCTGGAAGAGGATTTGAACTGAAGTATTTACCTTCTGTGGCAGAATTCCTCCCAATCTGGCAAAGACAGAGGGCTGGGTTTTGATTGCTCTTTTTAAGCAGCTGCTCCCAGTGGCCCATCTTTTCCCTTCCTCCTCGTTCGGATTAAAACGTCATTCTTCCCTGTGACCAAGACCTGTTGCCACAGGAATAGTCAGGAGGTCACAAACGGGCTTGACCTGTGAATAGGAACAAGGAGAAGACTAGGAGGAATGTAAACAGAAATATGGCAAGGTATGCGGCTCCCCGCGCTGCACTCCCAGCATCACGTGGAAGACGGCCTAAGCCTTTCTATCCAGGAACTCCTGTTCCACTGACCACATGCCTTTAGCCACGTGCATCCCTCCTGCCCCACCAGATACACCCGCATTTCTTAAAAGCCACTTGCTCCAAACCATTTGTAACATTTTTATAACCTGCCTAACGAGGCTGCACACCCTGTGCTGCGTATACAACCAGGCCCGGTACAGTCTGAGCCTTTCCAGCCAACATATTCCTCCTCTGAACAAGAACCGATACAAATCCTCTTTAAGGACAAGGAACTGAAGCATGTGAGCCACATGGAAAAATACCACTTTGTGCCCAAGGCCTTTTATTACACCTTGTTCTCCATGCCGCTAAAAGTTTGCCCGCTGCATCATTTCAGTAGCAAAATGTTTGCTTCAGGTCTGGATGCTCCCATGTGTTTTAGGGAACAGACATTCAGTCAGGTGTTCTGCCATATGCCTGGTACAGGGAAGTTTTCAATTTAAAGGGCTCTCCCAACGGTGTAATAAAACCACCTCTGCGAGGGGAACAGCTCCCAGCCCTGGAGCACTGTCTACACTGCCACTTTAGGTGGGCTGAAACTTGCACCGCTCAGGGTGTGTTTTTTCACACCCCTGAGCGAGGAAACTGTCCGCGCTGTAAGTGGCAGTGAAGACAAGGCCTAAGAGAAGTTTTCAGTGTGATTGATGCTCGGTAGGGACATAACCCAATTTCAGGTAAAGAATTTTCAGATCAGGAATGTTCCGTCCTGGAATGATTTCACACAACAGAAAGGGAAGCATTGGGAGAAAGCATATATTCCCCTATAGGTAAATACAGAACTTCTGAAGCTACACAATCCGGTCAAATATAGTTCTTCCAACCACCACCGACTAGGACACCCTAGCGATCTCCCTGTGACATTTATGCAGGAATGAACTGGGAACCATCACACCTTGTACTTTTTGTAAGTCTAGCACCCAAAATTCACTATCACAATAAAAAGCACGTTTGTCACTACTGAACCTGCTATGGAAAATACAGTAAAGTAATTTCACATTTATCATAGAATCATAGACTTTAAGGTCAGAAGGGACCATTATGATAGTCTAGTCTGACCTCCTGCACAACGCAGGTCACAGAATCTCACCCACCCACTCCTGTAAAACCCCTGACCCATGTCTGATCTACTGAAGTCCTCAAATCATGGTTTAAAGACTTCAAGGTGCAGAGAATCCTCCAGCAAGTGACCTGTGCCCTACGCTGCAGAGGAAAGTGAAAAACCCCCAGGGCCTCTGCCAATCTGCCCTGGAGGAAAATTCCTTCCCGACCCCAAATATGGCAATCAGCTAAACCCTGAGCATTTGGGCAAGACTCACCAGCCAGACACCCAGGAAAAAATTCTCTGTAGTAACTCAGATCCCACCACATCTAGTGTCCCATCACAGTGCATTGGGCATATTTACCACTAATAGTCAAAGATCAATTAATTGCCAAAATTAGGCTATGCCATCATACCATCCCCTCCATAAACTCTATTCTACTTCAGTCCCCACTTCCCCACACCCCAGACCAACATTCCCTCTAATTTTTGACAGGCCGTGTGCGCAAAAAAATTCTTCTGTGCACATTTTTGTGTGCGCGGTGTTTTGCTGTGTGCGCGGGGTTTAGGATCTGTGTGTGCACGCACAACTTAGAGGGAACAGCACCCCAGACCCTTCCTCAAAGGCCTGAGCAAACAACTGAGCTCTGAAGGACAACAGATTCATACAGCACTTAGAAAACCACAACGTGCTAAATCCGTGGTAGGCCACCTGTGGCACACGAGCTGATTTTCAGCAGCACTCACACTGCCCAGGTCCTGGCCACTGGTCCGGGGGGGGGGAGAAGCACCTCTGCATTTGCATTTAATTTTAAATGAAGCTTCTTAAACATTTTTAAAACCTTATTTACTTTACATACAATAACAGTGTAGTTATATATTATAGACTTATAGAAAGAGAGCTTCTGAAAACGTTAAAACGTATGACTGGCACGCAAAACCTTAAATTAGAGTGAATAAATGAAGACTCGGCACACCACTTCTGAAAGGCTGCCAACCCCTGTGCTAAATGTTCTCCACATTCCATTTTATCAGTGCAGAGTGTCTATATAATTCATATACAGACACTGTATATATTTGATCAGTTCCCTCACCTCTTGTCTCTGCATGCCACTGTGTTCTAGGCTGTGCTTTCCTACGGGGGTATAGGAAAAGAAAGGGCCACAATCCTGCCTGAATTAAAATAGCACCCAGAGGCTACACATTTCAGTAATTCACCATAACAGCGACAATTCCCTGCCCAATTAAAAAGTAACCGTGGGAACCTATCGGGAGAGCATTTCTTGTGAGCGGCACCAAGCATCTATGATGCAACACGAGGAGGCGAAACCTCCCTATTCCCCAAACCACAGTGATTTCGCCCCATTTTCTCAGCAACAGTTTAGCAGCAGCCCAAGCAGCTCGGACTCCACCAGCCTGGGCCAGGTTGATGCGGAGGATATGAAATATTCCCAGACATTAAAGTCAGAGGGCACCGGTCAGGACGCTTTAGAGCTCGTTTCCCGGGGCCGACGCACAGGGCAGGGGAAGGATCTTGGGGTTTTTACATCGGGTTATTTGCTTAATCACTAAACTTGCAAAGAAAAAAAAAAAACAGTTTGGGCAGCAAGTGTCCCAGTCACTGCCCTGAACGAGCCAGGTCCCTGTGGCCACCCCACACGCCGGGGGGGGCCCTGTAACACCGGACAGCGCCCTAAGGGCCCCCCCTCCACAGCCCCCCACCAGATCATTCGTCCTGGGCCACCTCCACCCACGGCCCCCCCACCCCTTCCCCCAACCGCCCCTTCCCCCTCCCGACCTCCCTCCCAGACCCCGACCGACCCCCCTCCCCAGACCCTTCCCCCCGACCGCCCCCCCTCCCAGACCCCGACCAACCCCCCTCCCCAGACCCTTCCCCCCGACCGCCCCCCCTCCCAGACCCCGACCGACCCCCCTCCCCAGACCCTTCCCCCCGACCGACCGACCCCCCTCCCAGACCCCGACCGACCCCCCTCCCCAGACCCTTCCCCCTCCCGACCCCCCTCCCAGACCCCGACCGACCCCCCTCCCCAGACCCTTCCCCCCCGACCGACCCCCCCTCCCCCAGACCCTTCCCCCTCCCGACCCCCTCCCCAGACCCTTCCCCCGACCGACCCCCCTCCCCAGACCCTTCCCCCTCCCGACCCCCCTCCCCAGACCCTTCCCCCGACCGACCCCCCTCCCCAGACCCTTCCCCCTCCCGACCCCCTCCCAGACCCCGACCGACCCCCCTCCCCAGACCCTTCCCCCTCCCGACCCCCCTCCCAGACCCCGACCGACCCCCCTCCCCAGACCCTTCCCCCTCCCGACCCCCCTCCCAGACCCCGACCGACCCCCCTCCCCCAGACCCTTCCCCCCGACCGACCGACCCCCCTCCCAGACCCCGACCGACCCCCCTCCCCAGACCCTTCCCCCCGACCGACCGACCCCCCTCCCAGACCCCGACCGACCCCCCTCCCCCAGACCCTTCCCCCCGACCGACCGACCCCCTCCCAGACCCCGACCGACCCCCCTCCCCAGACCCTTCCCCCTCCCGACCCCCCTCCCAGACCCCGACCAACCCCCCCTCCCCAGACCCTTCCCCCCCGACCGACCCCCCTCCCACCAACGTACCGCGCCGAGCCCCGGCTCCTCGGGCTGCTCCGGGACCCTGCAGGGCTCAGAGGCGGCCGCAGCCTCCCCGGCCCCCCGCCCGGCCCCGGCGCTGCTACGCAACCCCCCGCCCCGCCGGAAACACGGGGGCGCCCCGCCCGGATGCGACGCTCCAGCCACCCGCGGGGAGGGGAGGATGAGGACTCTATGGTCGCCGGCCGCTCTACCCCGCCAGAGGGCAGAGGGGGGACTCTATAGTCGGCGGGCCGCCCCTCCGGGCTCAAGAGCGGGAGGGGCGGGGCTTGCGGGAGGGGGCGGGGCTTCTCTCCACGCTGGCTGGGAGTGGTTGGTTGTGGGGGGTGGTTTGCCCCTGGGTCTGTCTGTCCCTGCTGCCCCTTCCTCCCTGTGTCTGTCTGTCCCTGCCCCCCCAGTCCTCCCTGTGTCTGTCTGTCTCTGCCCGGTGTCTGTCTGTCCCTGCCCCCCCTTCCTCCCTGTAACTGTCTGTCCCTGCCCCCCCCAGTCCTCCCTGTGTCTGTCTGTCCCTGCCCCCCCATCCTCCCTGTGTCTGTCTGTCCCTGTCCCCCCAGTCCTCCCTGTCTCTGTCTGTCCCTGCCCCCCCCAGTCCTTCCTATGTCTGTCTGTCCCTGTCCCCCCAGTCCTCCCTGTCTCTGTCTGTCCCTGTGTCTGCCCCTGTGTGATCCTGTTCCTGACCCTGTGTCAGTCTCTCTCTCCCTGTGTTGGTCTGTCCCTGCACCTCTGTCTGTCTGGCCCTGATCGCGCCCCTCCCCTCTGCCAAGTGAACAGCAAAGACAGTGTGGCCTCATAGAATCAGAGAATATCAGGGCTGGAAGGGACCTCAGGAGGCCATTCTAGTCCAAGCCCCTGCTCAAAGCAGGACCAAGCCCCAATTTTTGCCTGCCCCTCCTTTACCTGATGAAAATGCTTCCTCAGCCTGGAGCTTATTCCTGGCCAGTGAAATCCCTGGAGAAGGGGCTTTTCCTTCCCTCTATCAACCAGCTTGGGCCTCTACTGGTGGCAAATGTTAAAAACCATCATTCTTTACAATGAACCCCACCTACATGTGCCTCTCCCAGGCCCAGCTGTCCGGCGCGGGGACGCATGAGCCCCCTGTGCCCCTGTGGCATGCGTGACCCGTGCCATCACAGCACGCATGACTCACACGTGACAGCACGTGTCTCTCGCCCACAGAGGCTGGTCCAAAAAAATATATTACCTCAACCCCCCTGCCCCCTTTTCTCTCCCATGGGCCGTGGCAGCATGGATGGATCCCCACTTAGGGACTCTTTTTGTTCTGCAGTTCTACCCCACCTGGTACAACGGGCCCCGGGCCATGACTAGGTGCTCCGCAAGACCCATCCCAGGCAGGAATAACACTGCATGGCTCGTCACGCTGCCAAGGGGGGGGGGGGGTGTGATCCACACATGTCTAGCCAGCAGGTCACGGCGTGAGCCACGCGGGCCCACGCGTAGTAACAGAACTTGTGTGACCCATGGACCTCGGTGTGTATGGTCCAGGGGGTTAGATCTAGGCTCCAGCGCTCCGAGCCCAACGCACATAGGAAAGGCTGGTATCTCCCCCCACTGGCAAATGTCACACGCGTGCAGGGGATGTTGCTGTCCCTTTAAATGCTCAACGCCAGGCCTCCCCCTGCACTGCAATTGGCTGGAGGTGTGGCACGTTCGTCCCTGTCGAAGAGCGTCCTGCTGCTGCGATTGGCTACTCAGAACGCTGCTGGATACTTCCTGGAATGTCTGCAACCCAACGTTCCATCAGGTCAGTTTTACAGGGGAAGGCGGGGGGGACCCCCCGATTTCTACCCCCATCAGCCCCCGTCTGCAGCAGCCTCAGGAGCTTTGGTAGGGGGGCCTGGAGCCCCCTTGCATGTGGTGCATTGCAGGGCAGGGGGCGCGCATGTGGCAGGGGATCCCTGCACCTCCCCAGCAATTTTCAGTCCCCAAATCCCTGTCTCCTTTTTTCCCCTCCACGGCAAGAATTTCCACCAACACGTGAGCGAACTGATCCTCCGAGGTGAACGAGCCTCCACTTCTCCGCTCCCGGAGAAAAGCACTTTTCTTGCCGCAGGGTGCGTGGGGATGGGCTTGCAGTTTATCCAAAAAGAGAAGCAGGCGTTTTCCCCGGCGGTGGTGTGAAATCAGGGCTGTGATTTGTGCAAAAGATAAAATGCACTTTCCCGGCAGGGATCTGAAGGCCGTGTGTCAGTACCCAGCGTCTGAATTTCTGGTGCAATTTGTGGGTTAAAGAAAAAGATGCAGAGGTGGATTTTCAGTGTGTGTGTGTTTTATTTTAATTAGCCTGTCTCCGTTTTGCAAGGTGGACACAGATTTGCAAGCGGGTGACTTTTGCAAAACAGCAAGATGAAATGTTGTTGGTCTGAATCAGGGTTGCAATCCTTGCATACAGAAATAGGTTTTTCTTGCCACGGTCTGACTCATGGCTACAATTTGTGCAGATAGAAAGTAATGCAACTGTATTGTCGGGGTCTCGACTCAGTGAGAGAAATTTGTGCAGAAATGAAAAACAGATGCACTTTTCTTGCAAGAATCTTCAATTGTGGTTGCCATTTTGTACTTTCTTTCCTTTGGGGCTAAATTAACAGCAGGATGTTTCATTCTTCCGACAGGGCATTCCCCTGTTGGCTAACCTTGTGAGGTACCTGTGCCAATTCAATAATAAAAACTTAACTCAGTATTCTGCACATTTCTCCATGTTGGTGCATTCTCTCCACCTTGGCTGCAGTAGCCAGCACCTGCCTTTCCCTTCTGTGCGCTGACTGTCGCTTTCTTTTCAAATGTGGTTATATTATTTTATTATTTGCACAGATAACGTAGCAGAAGCCAGAAGCTGCTCAATATGACGACTGAAACCTTTGTGAAGGACATTAAACCCGGCTTGAAAAACTTGAACCTTATTTTTATTGTACTGGAAACAGGTGGGTATTAATAATGTGCAAGAGATATATCAAATATCTTACTGTAGTGGTTCTCAACCAGGGGTCCATGTGCCCCTGGGGGTACGCAGAGCTCTTCCGGGGTACATCAGCTCATCTAGAGATTTGCCTAGTTTTACAACAGGCGACATAGAAAGCGCTAGCAAAGTCAGGACAAACTAAAATATCACACAGACAATGGCTTGTTTATACTGTTCTACACACCAGACGCTGAAGTGTAAGTACAAGATTTATATTCCGATTGATTGATTTTATAATTCTATGGTATAAATGCGAAAGTCCGCCACTTTTCAATAATAGTGGGGCTGGGACACTGCTGTATTTTTATGTCTGATTTTGTAAACAAGTAGTTTTTTAAGTGAGGTGAAACTGGGGGGTAGGCAAGACTGATCCGACTCCTGAAAGTGGGACAGTCGTCTGGAAAGGTTAAGAGCCGCTGTCGTACTGAAATTCCATTTAACTGTTGAAATCAGTTCTCAGACATTATTTGTGGCTGGCTTTCACCCCCTGCCCCAGCTGCTTAGTGATGTCAGTGTCCGTTTTTGAGACACCATAATTGACGTAGGGTGAGGGCAGATGCTTACGTTGGCGGCCGTGACTCGGCTCAGCGTTCATAGGCTTGGGACCTTAGGCCAGGACCACCTTTGTGGTCTGTGTTTGTACAAGGCCTTGTCTAGCCCAAAGGGGCTCGTCTGTGTTACCATGGAGATGTCCCGCTCCCCCCTGCAGGTCGGGTGACCAAGACAAAGGACGGCCACGAGGTGCGGACGTGCAAAGTAGCCGACAAAACCGGCAGCATCAACATCTCAGTGTGGGACGATGTAGGGAACCTCATTCAGCCGGGAGACATCATCCGATTGACCAAAGGGTAGGCGAGACCCTGCTGGGAGGGAGGGCGGCCACGGGACCCGATCATGTTGGCGCCTGCCACATGCCCAGCCCGTCAGCCTCAGGCCCCCCAGGGCTCCTGAGACAAGCTCATTCGGGGTTTGATAGACCAGGCTGGGGGCTCCCCTGAGCTCCCCACATCTGAGACTGCGATGCCAGCCCTTCCAGGGGGAGGAGAATGGGCAAGGCTGCTCTTCTCCCTGGCCTTCATTCTCAGCAGAAGGAAAGCATCCGGTCCCCTTCATTTGTCGAGGGAGATACAAGCCTGAGCAAACAGGCCTGCATCCGCCTGCTCAGAGCTGGCTCCTTGCGGGATCCGGTCGTCTCTATGCTCTGAAATAGCCCGAATTTCCTAACTTTCCAGGCAGGTTGCAAAGCATAGGGGGGTTCGGGAGAAGGCCGAGGGCGGTGGCTGAATTCCTGCTGACGACTTTAACACTGAGTGTGCATTGTAGTGGATGTATGCTGGTGTCTGGGCACCTTGGGTAGGAGACTTTACTATTTTAAATATATAGATACAATTTAAAAAAAAAAATCCAGTTAGGTCCCTGGAAAAGACCCTTCCTGGACACGCATAGGCACACAGAGTTAATGTCAGTGTAGTAATATGACACCAGCTCTCTATCCCTGGACATTGGAGGCGCGGGGAGTTACAGTAAGCAGGTAGGACTGATCTCAATGGATTCATCATGTCGGCTTAGCTTAGACACGACTTCAGGGCAGGATTTTACTGTCCCTGTATCCCCAGGAGAAATCCTTGTCATTCTGAGTGGATGGAGCTCATCTCTTCCCCCTGCCACCCCCAGACAGGCTAGCGCTGCACCTGGAAACTGCCACTGCATTTGTGGGAGCCCCTTGAAAGAATAATTAGAGCGCCCCCTGGGGGCATTGCTGAAGCAGCACACAGTGTTGCTGGGCTGGCGGGGTGGTTCTTCTCTCCTTTCATAAGGGGTTGTGGGAAACAGTGTGTAAGTCAGAGCGGCCTCAGGGCTACTCTAACTTACATCGGGGGGGGTTTCCCTGGCTAGCCCCAGAGCACTGGGAGCACAAAGGTGCCTCCCTCAAGTGCAGATTCAGGGGAAGTGAGAATTGAGGCCCCTAGTTCTGCACCCAGTCCAGGGTGCGTGTCCTGTGTGAGATTTCTGGCCTGCAGCCGCTGGGCCAACCCCACGCAGTTAACCCCAGATCTTGGCATTCCTCTTGCTTTCAGCTACGCATCAGTTTTCAAAGGCTGCCTGACCCTCTACACGGGCCGCGGAGGAGACCTGCAGAAAATCGGAGAGTAAGAAAGGCCTGTCGGCTTCACTGGAGGAGCCCCGGGGGTGTCGCTCCCTGGAGCCTGGCTCCTTAGAGGCTGGGGAGGGGAGAAGTGTGGGGGAGCCCCAGAGCTGGAGCGATTTGCCACCGGGGCTGACCAGGCAGCCAGCCCAGCTGGACCTGTGGGTGTCTACTCAGGAGTGACTGGTGTTCAGAGCAGGGTGGGGGTGGGGAGCCAGGACTCCTGGGTCCTGTTCCCAGCCCTGGGAGGATGGCCTGGCCTGGTGGTTAGAGCAGGGGAGACTGGATACCTGGGTATTGTATTCCCAGCACAGTTGGAATCAAGATCCTGGCCTGAGACAGTCCAGGTCTCTCGCTGCTGGAGAGTCAGGGCATCCCCTCCCCCAGGATAAGGCTGAGTGCGAGGGGAGGAAGGGGTTGGCCAGTCTCCTGGTGGCCTTGCTGACCTGCCATTTCCCTCCCTAGGTTCTGCATGATTTACTCCGAGGTCCCAAACTTCAGCGAACCCAACCCAGAGTATGTGACCCAGCAGTCCCAGAGCAAAGCCGTGAGTACCAGCCGGTTCCCAGCTGGGGTCAAAGGGCTGGGGGGGCCCATCTAGCAGGGTAATGGGATTTGCTTATCTGCGGATGCCCACGGGGCCTCCTGTGGCCCAGGGAACAAGTCTGTGAAAAAGCCCTCGGGGCTTCCTGCTGCTGCCGACCCCAGGAGCCAGGATGTGCGGCAGGACTTTCCCCCAGGCTCTGCTCCTGGTGGGACGGGGTTGGGTGGGGGTGGATTTGTGGACGTCGGAGACGCGCGGCTGTGCTGGCTGCGGCCCAGAAGTGGCCGCATCTCTGTCCTGCGGGTGGCTGGGGAAGTGCGCCAGCATCCTGCGAGATCCGGGACCATGAGTTCTCCCTCCCGTTTCCTTCAGGCCCCGAACGATAACGTGACCCCTGCTGCTTCCCAGACCACCCCGGGCCCCGCCGCATCGTCCCCAGGTAAGGGAGCCCCCCTAGCTCTGCAGGCTGGATGTCCCCCCACCCCTGAGCAAGGCAGGTGGGACATGACCCTGCTTCGGAGCCATTCAGCACTCACCACTCGGGGGCAGTCACAGCTCGAGCCGATTCTCTAGTCCAGTAATCGGGGCGGGGAGTCTAGAAGGTTAGAGCAGAGCGGTCTGGGAGCCAGGACTCCTGGGTTCTATCCCCAGCTCTGGGTGGGGACTGGGGTGTAGTGGGTAGAACAGCGGGGGCTGGGAACCAGGACTCCTGGGTTCTCTGCCCAGCCCTGCCTTGGTTTCGCTGTTCATTTCCCTGTGTAATCTGTCGCTTTTGTTTTCAGCTGCCGACAACCAGAACGGCAACGGGCTGAGCGCCCCAAGCCCCAGCGGCCCCACACACCCGCCAAACGTCCCGTCCCACCCCACCAGCGGCCGGATCACCAGGAGCCAGCCGAACCACCAGGGCGTGGGCTCGGCCGGGTCTGGATCATCCTCCAACCCCGTCAGCAATGGCAAAGAGACCCGGCGAAGCAGCAAGAGATAACACCGCAGGGTCGGGACCCCCCGCCCCAGCTCTGTGCTGGCTCGCCCCGGGTCCCACCGCCGAGGCTGGGAGGAGGCTGGGCCAGGGGGTGGGAGAGACCATGGCCAGGCATCGCTACGGGCTAGATCAGAGACAGCGAACCAAGAGCGTTTTAGTCGCCGCGGTCGTGTCCATTTTCACCGGGACTGTGGCGTTCTCCTGAACAGTGACGGGAAGGGGGGCGCCCCCCATTGGAAACCGTCCCTTTATCTTCACAGCTCTGCTCTGAGACTAAACTGAGCCACAGCCAAGTGCCCCCGCTGGGATCCCCACATGCCCCTCTGCGGGGGGGCTGCCAGCTCCCCCTCCCTTCTTCCCTCCCTCCCCAGCTCACTAGATTTCGTTCCTTTGGTGGGTTTTTTTGTGTTTTGTTGGGTTTTTTTGGTTTTTTTTTTTACAAATATCCTGAAACTTTTTAGAAAACTTTAAAAAAGCTGCTTTTGCCAGGTGTGGTCAGTGGCCAGGGGGCAGCCGGGGACTGCTGAGGCCTCCTCCAGGTGTAGGATGGGGGGCAGCGGCCCCCCTCTCCTTGCCCCCAGGAGGGGCCCGTTTGGGTCTTGCTGTCTCAGCAGAGGCTGCCTAAGACTGAGCGTGGAGCCAAATCTCCCCTCCCCTCCCCCCGGGCCAGCAGCAGCTCAGGGAACCTTGGGGCACACACGGCGGAAGGGGGGGAGAGATGGGGTGGGGCGCTGGTTCCAACTCAGGTTGGCCGTGAGCCCTGCCTGGGCGCTCTGGGCCCCACCCTGCGTGGAATGAGTTTGCTGGGTCTCAGGCCAGTTCCTAGGAGGTCACCACGATCAACCCCCCGCCCCGCAGATGGCAGCCCCCTCGCAGCCTGGAGCTGGTGGGGGCAGCTCCCGGGACAGGGGCTAGGTGGAGGATTTGAGCTCCAGGCCCCCAGGACAGACTCACCCGAATCACTGTCACGTCTGCCCACACGGGGAGTGATCCCCCAGCAGGATTGGGCCTGGTGCTGACCTTGGAGCTGTTCTCCCTCGCCCGCTGGTTTGGAGAATGCTCTCTCCCCCCCCCCAGCCTGATGCTCCCAGCCACCCCCCCCCTCTTTTATTCTGTTTTAACTCCCCCCCCGAAACTCCCTTCTCTTGTCTCACCCAAGCTGAGTCGCTGACCTGCCCGGGGCTGCGTTGGAATAAAGGCCATGCCGCCATCCCCCTCCGCCTGCCGTGTGGTCGCTTGCGCCCGGGCCCCAGGGGAACTTTTGCACCAGCCACACCGGGCCTGGTCTGCTGGCGTCAGCCCCCCGTGTCCGGCACCAGAGCAGCTTGTAGTGGCTGAGATCAAACTCCCCCTCCGTTCCCAAGCCCCATAACAAAGCCCAGCCCCGTATGCTGGCGGCAGCATGGCTCCGCTGGGCGTTATACTGGCCAGCCGGCCCAGTCCATAGTCATAGATTGAAAGGCCAGAAGGGGCTGCTCCTGTCCAAGTCACACTGGACATTAGACGGAAAAATCTCTCCCCTGGGCAGGACAAGGCCCGTCCCCAGGGCACGATTCCTCCTGCTGCGCAGCGAGCTCCAAGTGGGCACGAACTGCGAAGGGAGGCAGCGGGGCCCAGTGGGGGGAGGGCTGTACTGGGCCACAGGAGACCTGGCTTGTAGCTCCCCAGCTCTGTCCCTGACCGGTGGGGTGACCGCGGGGGCTGGATTTGAACCCAGGAGCCAGGTCCCTGTTCCTGCCATGAGATGACAGCGCCCAGGGTCTGTGCAGGGCTGCAGCTTGGGACCAGCCCCCTCCCTCTGCACCTCGGCCAGCGCCCTGCAGGCTGATGGGGCAGGAAACCCACATGGGACTCACCCTTTTAGTCTCCTCCCTTCAGGCCCTCTTGGGGGGGGAAGGGGCCGGGCTTCGGGGAGACATGCCTGACCCTTGCCCCTCAGGTACTGGAGCAGCCAGATTTTGTGCAGCGAAGGGCAGGGACCAAGACGCCGCACCAGGTAAGTGCATTTCCTTTCCCCGCTTCTGGGGGGGCCAGATCACCCGTGGGCGGGGGGGGTAAAGCCCCAGTGCTGGCAAAGACTGCAATGAAGCAGCCCTGAGTGCTGCCAGAAAAGAATCAGCCCCCAGTAAACCAAAGGTGGGGCTGGAGCTGGCTCTGGGGCAGAGTTGGAAGCGGGGCAGGGGAGGTGGCCAGATGCAGCCCTCTGGGTGGGTGTGCAGACAGCATCAGGGCGGTTTCCCAGAGGCTGTTCCTGGCGTGTTCGCCCGGTGTCCCGTCTGGGGAGGCGGAAACCTCATGGCGCGAAGTCAGCGCTGAGGGTGGCGGCAGGGCGCCCCCATGGGAAGACAGCATTGTTTGTACAGCACCTGGCGTGCTCGGGCCTGGTTCTGGGTGGGGCTCTACCCTGCTGCGGCTGATAACTACACCCACGACACTGGCCCAACTCGGCGCGTCCCAGATGTGTCCTCAGGCTCTCGGGCAGATCTAGCAGGTTGGTAACACCACGGGGTGGATGGGAAGCGGCTGGGGTAGGATTCCCTCCCTCGGGAATGTCATAGGCCAGGACCCATTCCTGGGGCTGGTAGCGGGGAGAATTCCAGGCGGCCTGTTGAGCACCTGAGGTGACAGAGCCATGCCAGCTCTCCCACTAATCGGGGCAATTCCCAAAGCCCCAGCGCCCAGAGTCACGTGAAAAAGAGATGGGCATTTCTAGGATTTTAACCCTGTGACACCCAGCTGTCCATCATCTGCCAGGCCGGGGTCATGCCCTGTCCATGCTGCATTGGAGCTGCCAGAGAGTTTTCCAGGCCAGCAGGGATCGGGGGGCAGCCATGGGACCTGCCCTAGATATTGTGCAAACAGCCAAGTAGATTTACCTTTGGCCCGAACTCTCCAGGGGTGCGGGGTAGGACAGATGGGAGAAGGATTTGAGATTCCCAGTCACCAGCTCTGGCCTACCCCAGCACCCTCCCCCCTTGTTCCCCCTCAGCACCTGCCCCCTGATTCCTCCTGCTGGAGGGGCAATAAAGTGGGGGGGGAAGGGGGAGAAGCCACATGGGCCACAGCAGCAGCCTGCACCTCCCCGCCCCCCCCCAGGAACTGGACATTGGACTTTTCTGGCTTTCCTGCCTCTGGGGCCCAGAGCCCCCAGCTGGTGCTACCCCTTGCTCAGTTCTTGCCCCCCAAGAGCCAGGGCAGGGCAGCTGCTTGGTTTGACACAGGGCTGGCCTGGAAGGCGGGTGGGGGGACCCGGCGCTGGCTTCATATCTGAGTTATCACCCAGGTGAATCATTAACTCCTATTAATAAAGCCACCTGGGCTTGCAAAACTGCCTGCCAAGGACACATGCTCCCCCTCCCACAACCCTACCCTTCTCCAGGGGCTGGGGAGGCCTTCCCCCCCCCCCACGCCCCTGGAAGCCCCATCCCAGCATCCCTCGCTCTGTAATATCATGGTGGGGTTCTGATGCGCCGGACACGGACCGGCCACAGAAAGGCAGCCACCTCTGGGGCGGAGCGTGGCAGTTCACAGCAACCCTCGGGAAGGGAAGGGGAACCCAGTATCTGGCGGGAGCTGGTGACAGCCCAGAGGAGGGCCAGGGGCGTTTTAATAACCCCGGGCCACTCGGACCTCCCCCAAGAGGTTGCCGCTCCCAGCAGGCCCGGTGGGAAGGGAACCCCAGTGCCCCGTTAGCATCAGGCCGTGATTTCTCCCAGGGTCGGGGGGTCTCTCATGTGCCCCTGCGAGACCAGGGTCTGCAGTGCGAGGGGAGCTCAGAGCCGGCCGGCATGGGGGGGCGGAGCCGGGAATCCTGGGGCAACAACTTCTTCTGGCTCCGATCGGGACGATGGGATCGAGCGGGTCCGGCCCCCCCTCCCCCCCGCAGCTCCATGCGGGGGGGACCTCGACACCCCCGGTGGTAGCTTTGTTACCTTGCTCGGACCAGAGAGCGGGCAAGGGGCTGACGCTGGGCCTGGGATCCCCGGCCCCGGGTGGGAGGCTCCCGGATTGTCCGGCCCCCCGGAAAGAGACGGAGGCCCCGGGTCCCTCTAAGCCGCGCCGGTGTGGGCGCACACGGCGAAGCACCGCGCACAACCGTCTCCACAGAAGACACGTTTTGGGCACAGGGCCTGTCAGACATTAGCGGGAACACTGGGGGACGGGCAGGTGAAACTGGCTCGACCCCCGTGGCCTGGGGACGCTTGGCCCCCCGGGCCCAGCCGAGACAAAGAGCCGTAGTCTGGCGGCCCATCTCCTCCTCGCAGACTTGGCTTCCCGGGCGGGGAGCGTCAAGGCCGCCAAGTAGGCGAAGTCGCATCTTCACCTCCTGGCGCCGCAGCCCCGTGCGAGGCCGATGAGCGGAACCGAGCCCGGCGGCCGGGGCCAGCGGCTGCCAGGGTGGATGCGAGGCGCCCTGTCCCGGGCCGTTCTGGCCCGTCCCCTCCTGACCCGGGAGAACGGCCCCGTATTGCAGCACTCACCGGTCCAGCGCTGGGCGGCCTCGCCCCCCGCCCCTCGCGGGAATGCGCAGCAGGGGGCCTTCGGGGGATCTCGGGGCGGGTCTCCCTGCTCTGGGGGCGGCGAGAGGCCCCGGCCCACGGTGCGAGGCGCTGTACAAACCTAGAACAAAGGGAGAACGCGGGGCCGGGGGGAGCCTCGGGGAACAATGAGGTGCCAGTCGCAGCCGCGGGCGACTGCGGGATCTGTTCCTACAGCCCACACACATAATACAGCGGTGAGTTCCGCAGGCCCGGCGCTGGGTTCCCTTCGGGGCAAGGGGCAGCTCCCTGACTCGTCGGCCCCTCGGTCCAGCGGCGCAGGGCAGCGGGGCCAGCTTTTGAGGGGCTTGAGTCCCAGCGCGGGTGGGGGCAGAGGGAGCGACCCCACGTGCTCCCACACGTGTGCGGGGAGACGCGCAGCTGGGCCCCTCGGATCCAGGCGCTCTGACCCGGCGTTTAACTCCGCCAGCGCGCAGGCTCCTCATGCCCGCTTCAAACCCCCAGCCCAGCCGTGAGCGCTCCCGCGGGCCGGTCCTCGCTGCGAGCCGGGCGAGGGAAGAGCCTGCCCCGATAACCAGCGGCCCCGCCCGAGGACAGACCCCGCAAGCAGCAGCTGGGTTTTGGCCGAGGCTGGTTCCAGGGCGGATTCCCCCTTTCCCTGGCACCGTGTCTGCTGTTTAGAGACCCCCCTGGGACCCTCATCTTGGAGGGAGCGGCGGCGGCCCAGGTCTCTTCCTCAGTTTCCCCATCTGGAGTCCGGGGTGGGTTCGACTCTCCCAGTCCAGTTAAAGCAGCGACCCCCCCCCCCAGTGGAGCTGCCGTTCTCTCACTGGGGAGCGTAACTCGCGGTACTGGTCCAAGGCCCCTTTACACGGGCACAAGCTTCTGCACGACGCCTTCCCCTGGTGGGCCGCGGTAGCTCCAGAAGCGCTTCTGACCCCAGGCCTTATGTCTACAACCGCAGCCCGGGCCCGGACGCAGGGGGAGAGCGAGTCGCTGCCCCAAGCAGCTCCCTAGGCAAAGCGCGGGAGGGGAAACTGAGGCACGGAACGAGGGCGGGACCTGCCCGCTGTCACCCAGCAGGCCAGAGCCCCACTCTCCTGGGTCCCGCTACCTCAGGCAGACAAGGCGTTGACTGTCCGGCTCCCACAGTCTCTCCCCCCAGGAGCCGGGCAGTCCGCCCCCTCCACGCCCCCAGTTCTGAGCGGGGCGGCTGGAGAGACGGGGGCGTTGACGGGCGGGCGAGTGTTGCGAGCGGGGCGTTATTTGACTGTGTCTTTAACGGGCCCGAGGGCGGGCGGGCACCTGCCTTAGGGTTTCTTTGTCTTGATTTGGTCCCCCTTCCCCCTTAGAACGGGCCGCCCCCCCCCCGCCAGCAGATCTCCCACGAGGGGGCGCCCCAGCCAGCCCACCTGGCCAGGTGCGACCCCAGCTGACGGCCCCTCCCCGGCCCGCTCGGCGCCAGGCTCACCCCGCTGATGGACCGGAGGAAGCCGCGGCTGCTGCTGGCCGGACTCTGGGTCGCCGCCCTCCTGCTGCCGGGCGGGTGCGGCCCCCCGCTGCCTGCCGCCCCCTCGCCCGGCCTGCCCGCCTCGGCGCCGGCCCCGCTGGGGGAGGCGGAGCAGGAGCAGGGCTATTACCTCCAGCAGCTCTTCGGGCTGTACGGGGAGAACGGCACCTTGTCCTTCCACGGCCTCACCCGCCTGCTGCGGAGCCTGGGGCTGGGCCGGGTGCAGGTGGTGGAGATGGAGCACGAGGCGCTGGGCCACGGGCACGTCGCCCACCTGGACGTCCTGGAGGTGCAGGACAAGCATCGCCGCCAGTCGGCCCTGGAGCACGCCGGGGCGGAGCCGCCCAGCCTGGGCCCCGAGCTGCAGGGAGAGAACGGCCCCTCCAGGTACCCTCCCGGCCCCGCAGCCCCCCGGTGCCCCTCACTCCCGGCCCGCGGCCCCCTGCGCTCTGCCCCCCCAGCTCTGCCGGTGCTCCCAGCCCTGGGCTCCCCCCCCCGCAGCCCCGCCGGTGCCCCTCACTCCCGGCCCGCGGCCCCCTGCGCTCTGCCCCCCCAGCTCTGCCGGTGCCCCTCACTCCCGACCCGCGGCCCCCTGCGCTCCCAGCCCTGGGCTCCCCCCCCCCCGCAGCCCCGCCGGTGCCCCTCACTCCCGGCCCGCGGCCCCCTGTCAGCCCAGCCCTGGGCTCTGCCCCCCCAGTCCTGCCGGTGCCCCTCACTCCTGACCCGCGGCCCCCTGCGCTCCCAGCCCTGGGCTCCCCCCCCCGCAGCCCCCCGGTCCCCTCACTCCCCCCGCCCCCCTCCTCCCAGCCCTGGGCTCCCCCTTCCCCAGCTCTGCCTCCCTCACTCCCCCCCGGCCCCCTGAGCTCCCAGCCCTGGCCCCCCCGCACCCCCCGTGCCCCTCACTCCCACCCCCCCCCTCGCCCCAGCCCTCTCCCCCCCCCCCCCTCCCCTCCTCCCACCCCGCCCCCTCCTCCCAGCCCTGGGCTCCCCCCCCACCCCGCCGTCCCCTCACTCCCGACCCCGGCCCCCCGCTCCCACCCTGGCCCCCCCCCAGCCCCCCGGTCCCCTCCTCCCGGCCCCCCCCTGCCTCCCAGCCTGCTCCCCCCCCAGCCCCGCCGGTGCCCCTCACTCCTGACCCGCGGCCCCCTGCGCTCCCAGCCCTGGGCTCCCCCCCCCCAGCCCCCGCCGGTGCCCCTCACTCCCGGCCCGCGGCCCCCTGCGCTCCCAGCCCTGGGCTCCCCCTTCCCCAGCTCTGCCGGTGCCCCTCACTCCCGGCCCGCGGCCCCCTGAGCTCCCAGCCCTGGGCTCCCCCCCGCAGCCCCGCCGGTGCCCCTCACTCCCGACCCGCGGCCCCCTGCGCTCCCAGCCCTGGGCTCCCCCCCCCGCAGCCCCGCCGGTGCCCCTCACTCCTGACCCGCGGCCCCCTGCGCTCCCAGCCCTGGGCTCCCCCCCCCGCAGCCCTGCCGGTGCCCCTCACTCCCGGCCCGCGGCCCCCTGCGCTCCCAGCCCTGGGCTCCCCCCCCCAGCCCCGCCGGTGCCCCTCACTCCCGACCCGCGGCCCCCTACGCTCCCAGCCCTGGGCTCCCCCCTTCCCCAGCTCTGCCGGTGCCCCTCACTCCCGGCCCGCGGCCCCCTGCGCTCCCAGCCCTGGGCTCCCCCCGCAGCCCTGCCGGTGCCCCTCACTCCCAACCCGCAGCTCCCTGCGCTCCCAGCCCTGGGCTCCCCCCCCCGCAGCCCCGCCGGTGCCCCTCACTCCCGGCCCGCGGCCCCTTGATACCCCAGTCCTGCCGCTGCCCGTCATTCCCAGCCATCCCCTCCCGGCCCCCGGGCTGCAGCTGGGAACTGGGAATTCGTTTTTGTTCCTTTCTTTCAGGCCGGGATCCCCTGGAAGGAACCAGCCAGAGACGGTCCGGCCGCCCCAGGCTGACCCGCCGCCCCAGCCGCCAGCTGCCTCCGGGGGCACCCGCCCGCCCTTGGACACAGAAGGGCCCAGCACCACCTGCGCCCCAGGGCGCCCTGGGAGCCGAAGAGACCCTGTCCAGGCCCCCCCAGCCCTGCCCCACCTGACCCTCCTGGAGAGGGTGCTGGCCCTGGACCACTCCGTCACGGACCACCTGCACGAGGATGTGAGGGGGGGTCCACCCTGCGGGTTCTCAGACCCTCTGGGGTCTAAAGGGGAGGGGCTCTGAAGTGGGGGGCAGACATCCTCAGCCAGGGGGGTGGGGGGCTTCAGTGCTGACCATCTCTAACCACTAGACCCCATGCCCACCCCCAGCCCCGGGAACGGAACCCAGGAGTCCTGGCCCCCCAGCGCCCGGAACAGACCCCAGGGGCCTCCGCGAGTCACTCGGCAGCCCCTGCGCTCCAGCCGTCCGGGGCTTGGGAGGGCCGGTGGGTCATGCCCCTTCCCTGGGGGGGCCTCGCTCACCCGCGCTGTCCTCCCCCGCCAGTGCCTCAACGTGACGCAGCTGCTGGTGAATTTCGGGCTGAACTCCGCCTCCAAGATCACGCCCGAGCAGTTCGCGCTGCTGTGCCCGGCGCTGCTCTACCAGATCGACAGCCGGGTCTGCATCCGGCACTACGACCCGCTGGCACCGGAGCCCCTGGGGCGGGCGCTGTGGCCAGGTACCACCCTCCCCCAGCCCAGCCCTGGGCCAGGGGCGGGCTCTGCCCTGCACCACTATTCCCCAGAGCCTTGGGAAGGGGCCGCCCCCCCAGGGGGAAACTGAGGCACAGAGCGGGTAGATGACGAGCGCGGCCCGCAGCCTCTCCTTCTGCCGAGGGATTTTCCTGCCCTACGGCTTTGCCAACCCCCCAGGGTGTGTGGGCGGGCCGGGGGGGGGGAGGAATAGAGCCCAGGGCGCCCCCAGCCACCTCACCCTGCTTCCTCTTGCAGTTCTGGGCTGGGGCTTCCTGGCCATCACGCTGATCAGCCTGCCCTCGGCGCTGGCCCTCCTGCTGGTGCCCTGGCTCGGCGGCGCCTGCGGCCGCCTCCTGCTGGCCTTCCTGGTGGCGCTGGCCGTGGGGACGCTGTGCGGGGACGCCCTGCTTCACCTGTGGCCGCATGTAAGTAGGGGCTCGCCGGGCCCCCCAGCGCCCGAGCTGGGAGGCCCGGGGCGAGGGGGCCTCGGTCTGCTGCAGATCCATCCCGGGGCGCGTCCGCGCCGCAGCCAGAGCGCCCAGCGGCCCCCCCCAGCCCAGCCCGGCACCTGGGCCTGCCAGCACCCCCAGCTCGCGTCCCCCTTGAATCCCCCCATTCCTCCCTGCCCCCCCAGCGCTGGGAGCCCCTGAGAGGGACCCCCGGCTCCCCTCCCTCCTCCTGCCTTTAGGCCCAAGGGAGGCGCCAGGAGACGCCGCTGGAGCACCAGGCCTCGGTGCTGAAGGGGCTGTCGGTCCTGGGGGGCATTTACCTCTTGTTCCTCATCGAGCACCTCCTGGGCACGCTGAAGCAGAGACGGAGGCAGCCGGTAAGAGCCGCCTGGGCCGGCCGGGAGCCCGCCCAGGGTAGGGGGCTGGAGGGGGGCAGGACGGCAGGGGGCACCCTTCCCGTCAGCGCCCTGGGGCAATGCCCGGGGCCCCCAGGCTGCTGGCTTCCAGACAGGCCCCGACGCCACCTGGGGCTGCAGAGTTCACCAGAGCTGGAGCGCTGGCCCCGGGGTCCTGGCCCCGGCCCTGTGGGGGTCAGGGGGCCGGGGGGTTTGGTGGCTCTGCCTGGCTGGAGTGGCTACGGGGTGACGGCACATCCTGGGTCCTGCTGCTGCAGCATCCCGGCGTCGGGTCCGTCCAGCCCCGTGTCCCGGCTCCCTGGGCCCATGCAGGTCCCGGCTCCCTGGCCGTTCCTACAGAGCCCATCTGTCCATATTGAAGGTGCCACCCGTCCTAGGAGCGCTTGGTTTGCACCTGTCTAGGATAATGCGGGTGGGGCCCAGCCCGGGGGTTTCCCACCCCCAGTGGCCGCGATGCCCCGAGCCAGCCGGGCCCCGCCCCCGCGGGTGGCTCTCAGCTCTCACCGTTGGTTTCCCCCCCCCAGAGCCGCGCCACGGGAAGGAGCCCCAGGAGCCCCTCGCTGGATGCAGCCGGGAGCCGCGGCTTGACCCTGGGGGCGTCGGCTCCTTCCCCAGGTGAGCCTGGCGCTGGCCCTCGCTCCTGCCCCCTGCCCTGAGGCTGGGGCTGGGGAAGCCCGAAGCTGCCCCTCCCGCCCCAGCCGGCGCTCCTGCCCCGCTCCCCACAGCGCCCCCTGCTGGGAGAGGCCAGCACAGGGGCAGCTGTCGGGGCCGCCCGACCTCCCCCGTCCGGCACTCTCAGCCCACGGCCCGGAGCGGGTGAGTCTTCCCGGCAGCCTGGTCCCCAGCCCCGGCCCCCCGCCGGCTCAGGGCTGCTACCAGCCTGCGGCTGCTCTTCCGAAGGCACCGAAGCCGAATTGCGGCGTCTGACAGCCCCGGGGCCGCACAGCGACAGCCCCGTCTGGGGAGAGGAGGGGGCGAGGCAGCCCGCGCCGGGCGCGGACGGACCGACGGCGGAACTGAGCCACCAGGGACACTCGCACGGCCCGGCGGCTGGCACAGCCGACATCGCCTGGATGGTGATCCTGGGCGACGGGATACACAACTTGACGGACGGGCTGGCCATCGGTAAGGGGGCGGGGGACAGGAGCTGCCCCGGGGCCGGGGCCCCGGTTTCCTGGGTGCCAATGGGCTTCTCTTTCTCCGCAGGGGCTGCGTTTTCCGAGGGCGTCTCCAGCGGGTTGAGCACCGCCCTGGCCGTCTTCTGCCACGAGCTGCCCCACGAGCTGGGTAAGTCCCCGGGCAGGGCGGGCCCCAGCCGCCTGGCATCCCACATGCTCTCACCTGCCGCTTCCCTCGCTCCTGCAGGTGACTTCGCCTTGCTGCTCCAGGCTGGCCTGCCAGTCAAGAGGGTGCTTCTCTCCAACCTCATGTCGGCCTCGCTGGCGTATCTGGGCATGGCGGTGGGCACGGCCCTCAGCCAGGGTGCCTCACCCATCACCCCCTGGATCTTCTCCATCACAGCGGGCATCTTTCTCTACGTGGCGCTGGTGGACATGGTAAGGGGGGGGCCTGGCTTTGGTACAGCCTCGCCAGGCCCTGTGCTGGTCACGGGCTGCTGCAGCTTGGCTGGGCTTGCCATGGATCCCGGTGCCAACCCAGCGAGGCTGCTGGAGGCCGGGCACCGCATGGCCCCTTTGCCCAGTGGTGCCTCGTCTCGCACTTGGATCGGCAGCTCTTTGGCGCAGGGGGTGTTTTGGCTCTGGGTTTGCCCAGCCCCTGATGCCACGGGGTCCTGTCCCTTGCCTGCCGCTCGGGGGCACAAATCATTCCTAGGAACGAGTGTGGGGCAGGCGCCGGCTGCTCCCAGTGGGAACGCTCTGAATGGGTTTTCCTGCGTCCAGAGAACAGCTCCCCCCAAGTGCAATCCTAGGGCCACCCCCCTCGCCCATGTCCAGGGCCCCTCTCTGCCTTGAACAGCCGCTTTAGGCTCCCCGGGCAGCCGGTAGCACCAGCGCCTCGACTGGCTAGCCAGCGGGCAGGCTGAGCGAGTCCACACCTGGCATGGGAATGCCCAGGGCTCTGGAGTTACCCCCTCCCTGTGCGGGACGTCTGTCCTTTCCCGTATCGCCGGATCACAGGCTTCTCCGTTTCCCCTGCAGCTGCCCGAGATGCTGCGGCAAAGCTCCGGCGGGAGCCCGCAGGGGCCTGTGACGTATTTCGCCCTCCAGAACCTGGGCTTTCTCCTGGGAGCCACTATCATGATGTGCATCGCCCTCTTCGAAGGGCAGATGAGCTTCCGTGTGGATCTGTAACCTGGGGGCAGCCGCACTGCTTGCCAAACTCGGGTGGGACAGGGCCGAGGTCACGGGCACCCCCTGCCCCATGGCTGTTGGCTGCTTCGCAGAGAATTAGGACCTCTGGACGGTCTTCCTGCTGACGGCAGGTGCATGACACCCGGGGCAGCCCCCCACTCTGCTCCACGTCTCCCGGGAGCAAGCACGGGTTGTAACTCGGTGGGGCCCTGGGCTGACTAGTGCGGGTGAGGGGCAGCATTTTGCTGTTCAGTACAGGGAGGAGAGCGTGTGGCCAGCACAGTCCCCTACCCCCGCTTTCCAAAATCCACCTTCCGTCAGGACACTTCCGTTCAGATTCTCAGCATTTGCCCAACGTTTCGGGACATCGAGTGCACAAGACCAGGCTGAAAACAGCCCAGCGGCCCTCAAGCCACCTAGCCTCCAAGCGACCTGAGCAAGTCTCGGCATTTCGGAGAGGAAAACGCAGCCGATCTGTGGGCGATTTGGGGGTGGGGTACAGGAGACGTCGCTAAAGGGGGCAGAACTGAGCATTTTTGAGATGGGGAAAGCGCTGGAGTCCGCTGGGAGGCCACAGCCCCGTGCCCCACGCGAAGCGTGTGTTCATCGCCGGGAGGAGACGTTCTTCGGGGGAGCGGACATGGGAACTCTTACCTTCACCATCGTCCGGGGACAAGCAGCAGCGCTCCTCACTCCTTCCGCTCCACTGCCTGGGAAGGAGCCTCCGAAATCCGCTGGGCAGCTAACGGTTTAACCGAATGGAACAAGAAGCCGCCCCCGCGCCTGCCCATTGAAGCTCTGGTCCTGCCCGGGGTTAGATTCTGCTGAGAGTTACAGTGGCAGACCAGTTTCCCCACCTAGCCTCTGCCAACAGCTTCTGTAAGGACTAAATCCAGTGTCATTGGACTGGGGGGGCAGGAGTTCTGTTCCCAGCTCTGCCACTGACTTGCTGGGTGAACCTGGGCAACTCACCCACCCTCGTGCCTCAGTTTCCCCATCTGTAAAACAGACATGATGATTCTGCCCTGCTTTGAGATCTAATCTACCGCTGAAAAGCACAGCAGGAGAGCCAGACTCCCCCCCCCCCCCGGCCCGCTCCCAACGGCGCTAACCCCCAGGGGCAGGCGGTGGGAAAGGAGAACGGGAGAAGGAGTAGAAGCCATGGCATTTTAATAAACATAATTGATTCAAAGCCACAATATGAAGAACAGGACTTAGTTGCAGCATACACTGTATAAAATAGATCAAGTCTGAATGCTTTTATTTTTTTAGTTTTAGTCCGTCCCCCACCCCCCCAACTGATGCAGGATTTTTCAAAATACATACATGGAACATCTCAGACAAAAAGGAACCGGTCACTAGGCTTGCACGTGGGAGTGGGAACAAGGCAAACGAGTGGCATTCATGCTGTGGGGATGGATGGCTTCTTGGTTTGTTTCCTTATTTAATTTCACAGCCCCACAAGGGAGTTTAACAGCTTTGGGTTTCCCTTGAAGAATAGGATTTTTTTTTTTTTTAAATTTCCTCCACAGAGACAAGTGCTTTGTTGGTCAGGACTTGATTTTGGCACCCCCCTGGGTGCCAGGTTGTATGGGAGGGGAGAGAAACCAGGTGCTAAGATGAAACCGGCGTGGCTCATATCTTGCCAAGCCAGGCACCTGCAGCCTCTCGCCCATGGGCTGCGTGTGGGGGTACCTAGGAGAGCGTTTCACACTTTTTTTCTTTTTAAATTTTAATTGCACATCAAAACTCTGCTGTGTTTCACACCACGTCCCCGCAGGGTCCCGTGCACCTCTGCCAGGAAAGCAGAGCTGTCCTGATACTCCGCCCGCCCACCCGTCAGCACGAAGGGCAAGTTTTGTGCTTTAAACCAGCGGAGGAAGGAAGAATGAACTGGTTCAGGGGACTGGGGGGAAGAAATACAGTTGGAGTCTCTTCCAAAGATTGGTCCAGGACTTGCCCATATACCTGCCCTCTGCTGATATTGCAGGGGGGAGAAGACGGCCGCAGCGTGTTTCACAGAGCGCTCCCGTGGGAATACTCTAGCGACTCAGACATCTATAGTTCACGCACTCGCCTCTCCCCTACCTGCTGAAGTTAAAAGGTGTTCCAATTAAGTTGCCCTGCAACGTGACCTCCAATTAAGGCCCCTGTCTATTAGGAACAACACCACCACCACACACTGGGTTTTGCTTGGCAGGTTCCAGATTCACTGCTCTGAAGGGGAAAAATTCCAGGGAACAAAAAGTCCCTTTTATTTCAAACCCAAACCCAGCAGCTGTTAAATACAATAAGCAAACAGATCAATCGAGCAGAGGCCACCGCAAACCCCAGCACCGGTGGGTGTCAGTGCTTTCCAGGAAGGGTAACGTGACGCAGGGGGGCTGTGGCAAAGGAGAAAGTTCTTGGTGGAAATTTCCCTCCCAGCTCTTTGGCTGGATCTGCCCTGCCCCAGCAACGCAGCCAGCTGCTTGGCATGTCAGGAATTTGTCAGCCCTAGGATCTGGGGGGTGGGATTTCAGAGGCAAGAAAGCATTCTACACATCCGTGAGCCATTCTGTTTATTGCAAGAGGTAGGTGTGAACAGTGCAGTGAAGTCTAAAATTAAAAAGCTTTTTTGTATTTCCAACCATCTCAAACACACAATGCCCCCGCCCCCGGTGACGTAAAATTCACACACAATGCAGCCACCTCACACAAACACACCCCAATCCCTCCGCAGTGACTGACCGGGTTCCCACTTGCTAAGTTCTAGCTCTGGTCCAGTTCAGACAGGTCCCAAATTTACCTGACTGAACTGAAAATGCTTCGGGGGGAAAACACATCCAAGCATCTGCCCTACGCTCACTCACGCTGGGGACACCTGTTTAAAGTGCACACACTCAGGGCGAGCCAGCTTCTGGGGGCCAGGTAGGGAGCCCCTCCTGGTACTCTCAATTTGGGGGGAGTGCTGAGCTAACTCCTCTGGGGGGGGGAGGGTTAAAGGGGAGCTGTAAGCCCCCCCCACAATGAATAACCCTCTCCTCAGAGCTCCCCAGGAGGATCTTCCAGCTGGGTCGGCCCAGCGCTCTGGCATCTGTGTAGCCGGAAATGGAAACCACAAGAACACGAGTGTGAAAGAGGCCAGGAAAAACACCCCCAAGCCTGAAATCTCAAAGCGCTGAGCCCCCCAAACCCCACCGCAGCCAACAAGCCCCGAAACTGGAATGGAACACACATGCTGCTAGAAATCACAGGGCTGCTTTCAGCCTATTGCCAGTAGGTCCCGTGGGTGCTGGCTCCCCTGGCCTCCTTCAGACTGCAGAGGGGAGCTTAGCGTCTGAGGTGACACCCCCCCTGCCTGCTCAGCCAGCCCAGTACGAAATGGATTTGCCCCTGCCTGTAAACACAACAAGCCTGCACGATGCTGCTGCAACACCGCAAAGCCACGCCGATCTACTGACCTGGGCTGAGACACCTGCTCCCGCCTCCCTGCTTCTGCCTCGTCCGCACACGCTGCGGAAACCCTTGGTGCCTCATCTCCCGCATGCGGCACTTATGGGTCAAGAAGTCGGCAAGTCAATTTCAGTCAGCGCCGTCTTTGTCCCCGCTGGGGGCTGGAGCCGCCTCTTGCCCTCTAGGTGAATTTGCTCCCTGAAGCCCAGAACAACTTTGGGTCTGGAACACGCATCTTCAAACAGCACGCAAGATCACCTGCCGGTGAACCGGCTCCTGAACGGCTCCCCAGGAGCACGACTTGCTGACTTCGGGGCCACGACAGGAGAAGCGGAGGCAAAGCAAGTCCGGGGTCCAGGGTGTAAGGATGAGTTCTCTCCCAGCTGCACTAAGCCAGTCAAAGTCAGGACGTGTTAAAAGCACCATCCTCCATGTTACCCTGACCCCCTAAAGGCAGAAACTCAATTGACGCAGGATGCACCTCTCGCGTTAAAGGCAACCATGGTGGCAATCAGCTCATGCCGATGCTGCCTGTGGGCAAAATTTGGGGGAAAAAAATCCCCCGGCTGTCCATATTAATCAAACTGTATTGACTAGAAACTCACTGAGCACGGGTCTAAACATCCACGGACAACAACTGCCAGGGAAGGGGAGAGGAATGAGAAATGGCTCTAGGGAGATGCCACGTTTCTGCTCTAGGACGTGAGGTGTGTCGGCAGAGAGAGAGGGGCCTGGGGAGTGCAGATCCACCCCTGGCGATGGACAGGCAAGTCATGCATCTCACACGACAGCACGTTCTAGGAAACGGATGCACACGACGCGTTTGTTACAGGACATAAACAACACACCTAAACACTGTGCATGCAGTCACACACCACAGGGGGGTATTGTCGGAGGGCATCCGGAGAGTGATGCGTATTGTATTCATCTTGGTTTCAGCACGCCCTGAAGGGGCTGGTAAGAGACAGGAGACTCCAGCAGTGAAGGCTGAGGGAATTGGGACTGAAATTATCCGAGTTCTACAATGAACGTTACAGTTCCGACCGCAATTCCAACCGGGAGGCAGGCAGGATCTTCCTTCCCAGCCTGCCTTCCTCTCCACCCAAATCCCCAGCCAGCACCTGCACTTTCAGAGAGAACTTTCATGAATCCCCCACTGCTGCCCCAAGTAGCGCGCGGACCGAAGAACCCGCAAGGCTCATCCGATGACTATTGCTTTAGCGAGAGAGACGCTGGAGGAGACAGTTCTGGTAGGCCGCCCCCTCCCCTCCCCAGTTTGGCACATCTGCGAGAAACAGAACATAAGGAAATAAAGTTACTCCCATTTCTCTCCCCTGTTTTCAGATTCACTTATTTAGCAGGAGCAAGTACAGCAACCAAGCTTGGAGAATTCCTTAAAAATCCAGTTCCTAACAGGCCTGCAACAGAACAGCTACAGTGCAGCAAGCAGGGAAAGGGGCCAGGGGCTGGCCAGAGGTTATTTAACTAATACTGAGGCTACAAGGCAAGATTTTTGGGTCGGGGTGGGGGAGGGACACACGGGACAGGAAAATACACAGAGATTGTCAAGACTGAACAGGTCCAAAAGCAGGAATTCTGAAGGTAGGTCGCTAGAGATCAACAAACCCAACGGGAGACGGGGTGTAATTCATTTTTCCTAAGCAGACAGACAATGATCGTAAACTTTAAAACTCTCCTCTCCAAGCAGGTACAAAAGGAAGAAAAGGATAGCAAAAAACTAACCGCTTGATTTAAAGAGAGGTCTTGAAAGTGCTTTGATCTGGAATCTTACTTTATACCTAAGCAAGTTACTGGCAAGATGCGCATGGGGCATGGATTCCAATCTTCAAGCAGATGGATTGGAGGATCCAGGGCATTCGGTTACCCCTGCTAAATAGCAAAGTTGGAGTCTTGTAAACAAAACACACCCCTCAACTCTCTGTCCTTTCCCCAGTCACACAGCAAAGCCTGGTGTCAAACCCAGTGCTAGCCATGTTAGAGGTTTCTCAGGCAAGTTTACAGGAACAGCTTTGCAGAGCGGTGTTAATCTTGCTAGAGGTCACTCATAAGAGCATGATTCTCTGACAAAATCCCCTTCTCTGCAGGCATGTCAGGGAAACGGTACCATTAACAAGGAGTGGACTACAAATCTAGTCAATTTCAAACCAAAAATGTCAAGGAGTTTCCTCCCACAGCTGCCCCTGAGCTCCCATGGCAGGTTGTGTGGTCTGACCACCATATTTTCTCTCTTTAAAGAATGCTTTTCTCTCCTCCACACAAACAGAAGAAACCGACCAGACTCAACCAACTGGAACCAAAGAGAGAAATACAGTCTTCTTCTAATCTGCCTTCTAGTCATCATGGGTGAAATTGACTGAAGCAGCACAAAGACCTCCTACCGACTTTCGGCACAGAGTGAAACTCTGGAACAGAGCAAGCAAAGACAGCAGGTTAAGGACAGAAGCATGCTTTTTAAGTGGGCGCTGCCCCTCTAAACACTGGGTTCTGATTCCATGTGGACAGCAAATGGATAGATGCCCATCTAGCTGCTACCAGCTCTTCTGGAGAGAGGAATTTAGTGGCATGGCTAAAGACGTCTCTAAGAGAGAACGCAGCTTGGGAGGAAACAAGATTCCTGCTACATATTG